GACCAGTTCAGCCAGCCACATGTCAGCTTGGCCATTATTCCTCTCTGGGACCAGTTCAACCAGCCCCATCGTATCTTCCATGTGTCTCGATTCTGATTCCTCCTCTAGAGAGTAAACCTAGTGAATCCCCTGCCTTTAGTAACTATCTGACCTTGGTGATAGCAAATCACACAATTAAATGTCCCATTAAACTGTTTAAAGTTCTGAACCATGGCCCGTGCTACTGTATCACACACTCATACCTGGACTTTTACTCTGCTTCTATATAGTAAAACCATTTCTGTCTTCATAAGTAAACCCAGAACTACCTAACTTGTGTCAACTCTAGATTTATGTCTGGCAAACCATACTGTGTGCAATACAACATTTTTACATCTATCAAAGACAGCTCATTAATGGTGCACAAAATGGTCCAGATAAGATTGTGTGATGATTTCAAAACAGGGGGCCCATCACAGTTGAATGATACTGTAATGTTGTGAGCAACATCTGTAAATTCAGCCTGCTCTTTGTAATCACAGAATGTATTATCTCTGTGGAGTGGAAGTGCTTCTTGATCTTTGTATATATATTCTTATGAACTTAACATGCAGAAGTTACATAGTTACATTGTCACAGTCAGGTGCCTCAGCCAGTCGCGGCTGGCATCATCCAAATCGAAAAAGTTGCCGGGGCATCTGAAGCGAGGGCAGGAGTATAGGATGTGGTCGGCCGTCTGCTCCTTGCCATTGCCGCATTTGCAAGTTGGGTCATCAGTGAGACCCCACTTGTGTAGGGTGGCCCGGAAACGGCCATGTCCGGTTCTTAGTCGGTTCAGCTTGACCCAGGCTTGTCTGGGTAGGTCATTTCCAGCGGGTTTGTTGGATACTTTGTCAATAAATTGTTTCAGTCTGTGGTTGTTATTATTCCACACGTCTTCCCACTTTTTGTTAGCCCAATTAGTGCCATTGTCATTGTTTGCTTCTTTCAGAAGGCGCCTCATTGTATTAGAAGGTGAGTGCCTGTTTTCTAATCGGAGGATTGTGGTGTTCCGGTTGCAGATGGCATCGTGCAGCAGGTGGTTGGAGTCATCCGAGGCTTTCAGTGCAAGGTTGATGCAACTTGTTTCTCTGCGAAGGTTAGGTGGAGAGATGCCGCTGAGAATCGGTAGGAATTCAGTGGGCGTAGATCTAATGCACCCGGTTATAATGTGCATGCTGTTGTTCAGGGCTGTGTCTACCTTCTTCGTGTGGCTGCTGTTGTGTCAGGCAGGAGAGCAGTACTCAGCTACCGAGAAGGCCAGAAAAAGCACAGAGGTGCGTGAGACGGTGAAATTTGCACCCCAGCTAGTGCCAGCTAGTGCCAGCTAGTGCCAGCTAGTCTTCGCAGGAGGTTGTTCCTTGCTTGGATTTTTGCTGCTGTTTGTTCGAGATGTTGTTTGAAGGTCAGTGAGCGGTCAAGGACAACTCCTAGATATTTCGGGCTTTTCTCAAATGGAATAGTTTTGTCTTCGCACTTGACGTTGATTGTTATGTTAGCAAGGCGATCAAGAAGAGGTCAAGAAGAGCTACTTCCTCATAGTGACCCCCGGGCAAAGTCTCTGATGGCAAAAAGCTCTTCAAATCGAACTTACCATGCAAGATGGCAGGATCAGGAGATTCGAGAAGGAATGATACAGGCCGGATACTGGACAGCTCATTCTGAACTGTCTAAAAAATAAGCGACTCTCATCATCTGAAAAATAAAGAGGAGAGGTTAGCAAGCTAACACCGAGAGGAAAAAAAAGTATTTAAACATAAAGCACAAAGGAAAAAGGAGGAGGGGAAAATGAACAAAACAAAAAAAAGGGAAATAAGGATCTCGCATGGAAGCAGAGCAGCAGCAGAGAAGACAAGAAAAACTTTATTTTAGAGAGATGCAACTGATTGTACTGGGATTGAGGCTGTAATGATGTAGCAATGACTCACGGGCTCTAGGAAACTAAATAGGGTTTCTTATAAATGAGGTTGGGAACTAGATCAGGAGCCTGAGTAAAAAAGGGTTGTTTAATTGACCAGCGTCCCGATCTAGTTTAAATGACAGGTTGTGAGCTCGTGGAAAGTGTAACAGCAGGACGCGAGTCTGACCTGGCCCGAGCATGACATCTGTACATTGTATTTAATGAAAAAAAGGCAAAATCCTGTTACTTTTACTGTGCAGTTTGACTAGTGCAGTAATGCACTAATAAGTTAAAAAAACACCTTAAATTTTTATTAATGAACACATGGCACATTAAGGATACACTGGCAGTTTTACAGCGTAGAGCAGTCCTGCATCAGAGTATTTTGAGTGTTGGAGTTACGTTGTGCTGTAAAGTTCTTTGAGGCTCACATTCTGAGTCTGTATGAATCATTTTCCTTCTGTAAACAAACAATTTTAGTTTGTGAATTTAGAGAGTGAACAGGACATGGCTAGTGTGTCATCTATAGCCTGGAGAAGAATAAATGTAAAAGCTTTTATTAAAGCCAAGGAGTCTATTGTTATTGATGGGAGAAAATTACCACTAACTTGTTAGGACATCTGGCTTTATTTTGACTTCCAACCTAAAGGATGTATAAGAGAGGCTGAGCAGAACACATCCAGGTGGAAGAAGAGTTTCAGATGCTCGGTTGGGAGACCCAGGACTGAATGAACAATATGGGTAGATTTGGGATGGCTTGCCTGGGCTACCTAAAACAGAGGTGAACACATCACAATCAAAATCCTCTGATTAATGCTGAAATTAGTAAAATGCAAAACTCAAATATTGCACAACCATGAATATGGTATGCAATGATGTTACTTGGGCAGTATAGTGGTCAGCATTGCTGCCATGCAGAAAAGGGGGCTTGGGTTCAAATCCAGACCTGGCGTGCTGTCTCCCTCAGTCCAAAAACATACTGGTAGGTTAAGTGGCCTCTGGGACAACTTGCCCTAGGTGTGAGTGTGTTTCTGTGTTTGTGGCTGTTTGTCTGCTTTGTGAAGGAATGGTGTCCCATCCAGGCTGTACCATGCTTTGTGCCTGTTGCCAGGATAGGCTCTGGTTCCTCCACAGCCCTGAATTGGAAGAATCGGTTAGAGAACATGATTCTACTTTGTTGAATGTTATTTTTGTATTCAGATGTGTAATCCACTCAAATTGTGTAAATGTAGTAAAAAAACTCACGGTTTCATGTATTGGCCAACTGCACATAGAATCATGCTGAAAGCAAATCTTTATTGAAGATAGGTTTCCTGAGCATTCAGAACATAGGTTAGATATTCAGAAAATACGATAGATTTATTGCACAGGACTGGAGAAATAAGGAGGCATACAGTACACTTTCTTTTGGAAAGGAAGAAGACTATGTATTTAACAAAATGTGAGCTTTAGTGGCTGCTTTCAAATCCACTGTCAGAAGATTGATGGGACAATTGTGGGGAATTTGGAGGTGCTACAGGAGGGTCAGGATATGGAGGTGCTGTGCCATGTGGTCTTCTTGGACCAGGGTCACTGTTGGACCGCTGTAGAGGTTGGCTGTTGGTCAAACTCCACACACACAGGAGAAAGATGACAAAGGTGAACCTCTGTGCAAAACGAAACAGGAAAATATGTAAGAGCCTTAAACTGGTCATGAAATTGTTACTTTCAAAAACAATAGGCATTTCAAACAAGCTTTGCAACCACACTGTTGGAGCTGGTATTCTTTTTTTTGAGAAATGGCTGGTCCAGTTGCTCGGATCAATCAGCTTTGAACTATCAACTGACTATGTGTAGCATTTTCTGTTTCTGTTGTTAACATTTTAAGCTGTTACTGTTATGGTTGTTGCTGCAGCGGACCGTCCTTTAACCCTGTTGGCCCTTTGTTCTGCCAGCTGCCAGCCATCTCTTTGGAGAGTCCGACACCATGGGGTCCCTTTCTCCTGAAGCCCAGCTGCTGATTCTGCACTGCGGATACAGCTATCCCTGCTTAATGCCAGCCTTTTTAACGCCGGAGTTGAAGACGTCCTCTTCAGAATAAAGTGGATTATTGGTCGATGCTTTAGATCAGTGGTTCTCAAACTGTGGTACGCGGAGCGCCGCCAGCTGGTACGCCATATGACCCTGGAACTTTCTTGTGTGCGCTGAAAAATCGGGACGGGTTTTCATATTTTGTATTTTAATACGTGTCGAATACGCAGCCTACCTACTATGATACAGTGCGCGCTAATACTTCAGTGGACACAAGAGATACTCTGTAATTCTATACCACTCTATAGGAATGCAAGCTACGGACGCAAGTGACCAATTGTATTTAAAACAAAAGCTATCTCCAGCAAATAGGGAGGTAGGAGAATGTGCGTGATTTTGGAACAATGCCAACGTTGTAAACACAGGAATGCATAGAAATACGTGCTACGAATGCTGGTAATCACGTGAGCACAGGAAAGCGTGATAGATAACAGAAAAATAAGAACTGTTCTAAGTTAATTTGAGAAAAATACACTGAGCGTCTCTGTGTTTCGCTCCCATGCGCATGAAATAAAAACTTAAAATAAATACGGAAATAAAAATGGAAACACGGAAAAATGCAAGCTTGCAGGTAAGCCCCACACTATTATGTGTGGAGAAAAGTCTGCTAAACAGCTCGACTTGCTGCCCCCCCGAAAGACACGGTCACTCATAGAATTATTGATATGGCAGATGATATTAAAAGTACGTTGATAGAGCGCGTTAAGATAAGACTCTGTTGTGAATTGTATCAAGGCTCGAAAAATTAATTCACATCTGCTTTGCTCGACTAAATAGACTCACCCCTCTCACTGAAATGGTGCTTTTTTATTATTTTTATTTGTTGTTGTTACTGTTTTTTTTTTCTGTAAAACGGTTTGTGAAGCCACCTTTAAAGGCGCTATATTAAACAAAGTTTATTATTAATATTATATGTATGTGTGAGTGTGTGTGAACACGCGCTCATGTTGGTCATTGAGAATTTCTGGGGTTCCTATGAGATGATGACTTGTAGGTGGTACTTGGATTCTTTGGTTGGATTAGGGGTGGTACTTGGTCCAAAAAGTTTGAGAACCACTGCTTTAGATCAGTGGATCAGCCTACACCCCTCTGGTTCTCAAAAGGGCTGCAGCTATTTGCAGGTTTATGATGATTTACCTTCTAAAAATATCTGATTTGTCTTGCTCTTTGAGAAAGGGCATGTAGCACCCTGTGTTAAGTAACATTGGTTTAGATTATTTTAATATGTGCATAAATACTGGACTGAATCCAGAAAAAAGGTTTATCAACGGCTTATTAAAGGGTTATTTCCTGAAAGGAAAACATCAGTAATTGAATTGACTTTGATTTTTGCAGTGAAGGGGATAGAATGTTTAAATCTAATCCAACTGACCAAATTGACAACCTTTTCCTAGATTTAGCAAAAGTACCCGTGTAGTGGGTATTTTATTAAGCTATCAATGAAAATGTGCACTTTTTGTGGATGTAGTTGGTCTCATCCTACTGTATATGCAAAACATCACAGGATCCTCTAGCATGGAAAAAGGAAGCACAAATACAATTCCTTGACTCAAACACTGCCAAGATCTACAATGAAAAAAATATCTCAATTTCGGAACAGAATAGATAATATGCATAGATAATAAACCTGATATTTTTGCTTTCTTATTTGGATTGATTTTTTTATATTAAAACTACATCATTAATTGATACTACAAAATACTTATATATATATATTCATATTCACAGAATTAAATTAAACATTAATGCAATACTGACAATATTAATCTTTTAGAACATATTGTAATAATACATTACATATCTTTCCAATAATGAGGTTTTTGCTATATTATAATAAATAATTTTTATTGTATTTTGTTTTTGAGCATATCCTCAAATAAATTATTCACAAAAAAATTCACAATATTCAAATGTATACACATTAGTTTAATTCATGTTAGCAGTTTAATTAAGATTCCTCTCAGAGATGGTAGTACTCACCATCATTCACAGTGTTTGGTAGAGATGCAGAAAGTATGTATCAGAAGGTTGGCTTTGTCTCTTAGCTGCTGCAGGTCTGCAGAAACAGTGCAGACATTATATCGTCTAAGAAGAGTTAGACTGCCCTCCCATTTATACTGGTTGCTTTTTCATTGGTTCATCAATTTACTTCACAGTAAAATACAGTCCATATACAGTATAGTGACAATTTGTCCAGTCTAACAATGAGTAATTGATACAACTTTCATCATGCAAAAAGGCTAAGATAGACTGGCATCCCATCCTAGAGGAGAGCTGTTATTAGTTATTATTTTATTTTGGGTAGGTTCCATGCTAACTACTTTACTGTTAAAAAATCATGAATAACAATATACATTTAGATATATTAATGTGTAGCGGATTGGACACTAAGGATGCTTCTTTGATCCCTTCTCAGATGCCAGGAGCCTGTGCCAGAAGACACCATTCTCACATTATCTCTCTCTATGGCCCCAGGAGGTCTACAAATGAGAAGGGTTATTGTATGGGTGAGGTTAGTCACCTTGTATGTCTCTTCCCTCACTGAGACACACCTGTCCGCTTTCTTAATAAACTGTTGAGTTCAACAGTGTCTAGAGTCAGATACATCTGCTGTACCTTCGTATAAAGACACTGGGAGTCAGGGAGGCTCTTTGTTGCCTAAATGTATTGAGAGTCCAGTGTAGCCCTTTGTTTCAATGCAATAATAATAAGAATAATAATAATAATAATAATAATAATAATAATAATGGAGTAAGATCAGTTCTGTTAGAAATATGTAGGCCTTAAATGCCTCACAAATTATGGAGCATGTTACCATCAAATTGTAAGACCATTCTCGATTAATGTAGGAGATGTTCACGGATCCCCTGCATGAAGTGACTTAACCATGCTTCACTTGAGGGTCAACAACCTGGCCATTTTTGGATTGGGTTCCTCTGTGATTCCTGTTTGGAGTACCCCTGTATGACAAGCCAAAGGGCTGTTACACTGCTGGAGGAGAAGTCCCTGAGCTCTGTGCAGTAAAGCCTGAAGTCCTTTATACTTTGGTGAGTGAACAACTGGAAACAGCTGGGGTCCCTCCTGATCTTGAAATCATTAATTCCTTTAAAATGTGCCTTGGAAAAACTGTTTACAGAATAGCAGTTCTTTTAAAATTGAGATTCTATAAATATTGCTTAATGTTTTTTATGGTGTTGAAAAGATCAGAATTGGATCGGTTTTACATAGCTTTTTTTGCAGCAGTACATTTCTATACACAAGAGGCAGGTGCCGCAGTGGTTATTGCCTCGTACTGATGGGACCCTGGGTTCAATTCCTTGGGTGCTGTCTGTGTGGAGTTTGCAGAGCTTGCAGGGTGTATTATGGCTTTTTTACCCAAAGCTCCCCCATGAACCTTTTTAGATAAAAGGGTTAGAAAACAGATAGATTCCTAAACACTTGGCATTAAATGGCTACATTTACTGAATTAAGGTAGCTATTTAAAAAAAATCTCTAATGCTTTATTTTACTGACTTAACATACTGTCACAATGAATTTCACACATTAAACTATATTGCAAAGTAGTTCAAGTGCAGTGCATGTACAGTACTGTACCTCACAAATGTAAACAAACAGATCTTACTATTTTAAAAATACACTTTAGTAAATTATAAAGCAAGCATTTACCATACAAAATGCAGTGTTTGAATGTTATTTAATAATTATACTGTCTCTGGTGTATCACGACTGAGACATTTTTTTAAACAAAGAAGCCAGTCAGAGTCAGTACAGCTTCTGTAGGCAAATTGCCTCTTGAAATACAATTCATGGATTAGCATCCTGCATGACCTTTGGCCACTCTGTGGTTTAGCTCATACAGTACTGTAGTATATCCTGCTGTGTAATAGTTTTATCTGTACTGAAATGGTATATCTGCTGATGACTCTTCTGACCAGTAAGTGCAAACAACGGAAAACAAAGAACACCACGCAGAACACATCTTGCTATTTAATCAAAAGGAAAGATGTATTACTCTCACTTGTTTAATCACTGCCATATATCCACTTGCTCTTTCAGAGTACATTTTTTTATTTATTGTTAATCAATTGAAATAGTATTAATTGAACTGCACACAATGAAAACTTTTTTTCCCCTGTGTGACTTGTTCTTGTAGTTTTGTGCACCTTATCTACCACGGGTTTTTCATAGCAAAAGAGGTGAATATTTATGTAGTCACTTAGGAGTGATTACCTCCATACCAGTCTATCTTAGGCTTTTTGCATACTGTGTAGACAATGGACAAATGTTCACTATACAGTATATGTATTTTACTTTGAGGGGGATGAGCCTATGAAAAAGCAACAATTAAGAGAGATATCAGGAGGCAACGAGTGGCTGGGCAGTCTCACTTTTCCTAGACTAATGCCTGTATACTTTGTGTTTCTGCAGCTGCTAAGAGACACCTTCTGATACGTCATTTCATAAAATGTGAATGATTGTATATATTAATATATTTTATATATACAGATGGAGAGCACTGTCATCTCTGAGAAGAATTTTAATTCAAGTGATTATATGAATTAAACTAATTTGCAAAACAATTACAATAACCATTTGTTGTGTGAATGATTTATGTGATAACATACCCTGAAATCAAAACTACAATTAAGAATATCTAACTAAAATACAACAACCCCTTGGTGATTAACAGATATGGAATAGAGTATTATACAGTATTTCATATTCTAAAGCAATTAGTACTGAATATGAGTGCCAGTATTACATTCTTGTTTGAATGATTTGTACTGTGTGAAAGTGGCAGTATCAGTTAATGAAAGTCCAAAGAAAGCAGGAAGATCACGTTTAGATCCATTTTATCTTGGCCGGCAAACTGCAAATTAGATCTTCAAGGTTCCATCTGCCAAGGAGAGGAAGCTCTATTATTGCTCATCTTATTTTTTTGTAAATTCCCTTATACTAAACCCATTTTATTTGTGCTGCAAATGTCAACTTTGATGAAGCCAACTGATTACAGAAAGCGATTATATCAACTACTAAGAAGACAAAATGGGCAGCAAAAAAGGGAGAATTAAAAGCACACCTCTTGTATTGGCTGGGATCGAACCCAGACCCTGCCATATACAGTACAAAGGCAAGAAATGTACCACTGAGTCACCATTAAGTAATAGGGGTAGCAATAGAACAATTTGATTAAACTTGGGAGTATGATGTTATTTATTTGTTAATGAAAATGAAAAAGAAATGTCTTTCTTCATGTTTATTTTGGTTTCCTTCTATCATTTCAATTGTGTAATTAGCATTAAGACAAAATATAAATCATTGTCTCCCTGATAGAGAAAGCAATGTGTGTATTCTACTTTATTCTGTTATTCATAAACTTTTCAGAAAACCCATTTGATGAGTTATATGACCCATTTTCCACTAATGTGTGGTACAACTGGTCTTATTCTTTAGCACTCTACATACAGTAGAGTGCTAAAATCTCCTTACAACGTGGTGTGATAACAACAACCTCACCCTCAATGTCAGCAAAACCAAGGACCTGATCGTTGATTTCAGGAAACTGCAAACCGGACATGCCCCTATCCACATCAACGGGACTGAAGTGGAAAGGGTCATTAACTTCAAATTCCTTGGCGTCCATATCACCGAGGACCTCACATTGTCTCTCAACGCCCCCTGTCTGGTCAAGAAAGCGCAACAGCGCCTGTACTTCCTAAGACGGTTGAAGAAGGCTAAGATATGTCCCCAGATCCTCACTAACTTTTACAGATGCACTACAGAAAGCACACTGACAGGCTGCATCACGGTGTGGTATGGCAACTGCAGTGCTGCTGACCGCAAAGCCCTACAGCGGGTGGTGAAAACTGCCCAGTCCATCACTGGGGTTGCCCTCCCATCTATCCAGGACATTTATGACAGACAGTGCTTGAGGAAAGCTCTAAGCATCATCAAAGACCCCACACACCCCAGCTACAGACTGTATGATCCGCTACCATCTGGAAAACGGTACTGGAGCATTCGGGTCCGGACTACCAGACTCAGAAACAGTTTTTACCCCTGCACTACCAAACTAATAAACTCCCAGCATCTCTCACCTCTCACCTATGATCTGAACCTCACAGTGCCTTCTTTCTTACCAAAAACCCAAACATACATTGAAAATCTACCTCTACCATACATGTCAAAAGCTCACTCCCCATAATTTTTATCCCTTTATTTCATTCTGTTGATGCATGTTTTTGGACATAACCTGTTACCTTTTTGTTGTTTAGCACATTTCCTGTTGTTGTTTTGCACATTGCCTGTTGTTTTTCGCACATTGCCTGTTGTTGTTTTTGCACATCGCCTGTTGTTGTTTTTTTGCACACTGCCTGTTGTCTCTGTCTTTCTTTTGTTATACAATTGTATTGTTGTTGTTGTTTTTTTCTTTGTACTACTTATGTCCGAGAGCTAGCTAAATAGCATTTCGTTATACCATATACCTGTATATGAGTATAATGACAATAAACTTGAACTTGAACTTGTGTTTTCTCGAATTGACTACTGTAATGCTCTACTCACTGGGGTATCTAAATCTACACTGAACAAACTCTAGTATGTCCAAAATTCAGCAGCCAGAATCCTGACCAGGTCTAGTGTAAGTGATCACATTACTCCTATCCTGGAGTCCCTGCACTGGCTTCCTGTCAAATTCCGTGTGGACTTTAAAATCCTCATGCTCACCTAGAAGGCTCTGTAAGGCTTGGCACCTCACTACCGGTCTGAACTATTATCGCCCTACTCCCCACCTTGCAACCTTCGCTTCGATCTCCTAACTGTCCCCCAAGCCCGTCTACATTGTATGGGTGACAGAGCCTTCTCCTGTTATGCCCCCAAGCTCTGGAACTCTCTGCCCAGGGACATCAGAGAGTCACCTTCTCTAAACTCCTTCAAATCCAGACTCAAAACCCTCTTCTTCAGAAAAGTCTTTACTTAACTGGTTCCATTCTTGACCCCTCTGTTTTTCTTAGTACCACCATCCACTGTCTCCTCTGTATAGTGTAATTGTGTTTTATCTTGTGTATTC